GTCGACCAGCAATTGTCGCGGTTCGAGGTCATGTTGGTTGAAAAAGTAGACAATGTTCGAATGGACTTACGCGGTTTTTCGCGAAAACTCCAGGAGTTAGAATGGAAATATAGCGAATATGAGAAAACTTTGGAAACCTATCAGGGAGATGTTAGTCGAATACATGAGCAGATTTCCACCCCATCGACCCAACCCCAACCGCCGCCTCCACAGGAACCTCCGTCGTCGGGTTCTTCGTCACAACTCGAAGCGCGCGTCGAGAATTTAGCGAAAGGAGTACAAATTTTGATCGCCGCAACAAGAGGATTCACTTCCGATGTCTTCGGGCTGAAGAAGAACGTTTCACTTCTGTTAAACGATACTAGGTGAGTACTTAAGTGACAGACAATGGTTTATCTAAGGGCCTTGTTCCTACAAAGCTGCGCAACAGTGACACGATTTCGACATGCCGCAAGTAGGTAGTAGCTTTCAAATAAAAACAATGATCAAAGATAACAAAAGGTTAACATACCGGGTGGTGCACGGTAAGTAGGAACAATGGGAAATTAGTTTTATGAAATATCCTGCTCTACTGTACATTTTACAGAAAAAACTGTAGAGTTTAAAGTTGTTCAGAATTAAAACGTGCATACAACACTGTTTTTATATGTTTTATTAAGCTTTTGGTATACCCGCAAATTTAAAAATAAATTTCAACATTTCTGTTATTAATAGCAATTCATAAAACAACAAAAATCATGGCTATGTAACAGTTTAGCATCCAAATGTACCTATTATCACAGATCTAAACACTCATTTTATACCTCCAAACGCGCCTATTTTATTAATAATAATTAAAATAAGATGGGAGTGAATTTTCGTGACAAGAATCCTTTATTTATACCAGCCCAAACTGTATATAAATTTGGAAATTGAGTAGGAAACTATAAATTTCTAAAAGTTAATTGCCTGTTATTTTTACCCTTAAAAATCATCTACTCGGAAACCTATTCTTTAGCAAATATTTAACCGAATTTGTCTACTCTAGATCGGTTCTTGCGTTCGCGCCTCAACTAGCCACAAAACAGAATCTCAACAGTGGTCTTCTCGAAGTCCAGCAGCGCCAAGTTCAGTCATGGTCCCTAAATACCTGTCCAAAAAGCGATACCGCTACCAGTAACCTTCCGCGAAATTGTCGCGAGGTCTTCGCGGTCGGTCAGCGGAAATCGGGCATTTACCGTATCCATCCCGATCCTTCGTCAAAACCATTTATGGTAGTCTGCGACCAGGAAACTCGGGGAGGAGGTTGGACAGTTATTCACAACCGTTACGACGGTTCTCATGATTTTTACCAAAACTGGCACGAATACAAGCACGGCTTCGGTAATTTGGGCGGAGAGTTTTGGCTGGGCCTGGATTACATACATCAACTCACTGGTAAGTTTAATGGCTGCCATTTTTACACCAACTGAAGTCAATTTTAGGCTCGGACGTAAGCGAACTTTTAGTCGAATTGCAAGATTTGGACATGGCAAGCAAGAGCGCTTATTATTCGGCCTTCAGTGTTGGACCTGAAACGGAAGGCTTTCCGTTGAAGGTGTTGGGAGGATACAGCGGTGACGCCGGTGATTCTCTACTATACCATGCAGGAAGTAAATTTAGCGCGAAGGATATGGACCAAGACGGCTGGCCGGAAGGAAGTTGCGCTCAGGCTCACGGTAAGTTAATACCCCATTCCGGGAGATAGTATAATCATATTTTAGGCGGGGCATGGTGGTATAGAAGCTGCGATATGAGTAACCTAAACGGAAGGTACCTCAGCGGCCAACTTCCCGAACAGTACATCTACCAAGGAATGTATTGGGCCGATTTTAGAGGAGCCCAGTACAGCCTTAATCGTGCCAGAATGTTAGTGAGACCTAGGGAACAAATTAATAGTTCGCTGGTAGACGAAATTTTTAATAGAAGTAACGCGATGCCCACATTTGTAAGGGGTCGTGTCTGAAAGTCCTCCAAGTAGATCTTTTCTAAATGCGCTTCTATTCTTCAGTGCAAGTGCCGTTAATCGATTGTCCCACAGAGACATTAAGTACAAACTGTTAATTGATTTCACTACAACTTGTAAAGGATATGTGAACAATAAAGTCTCTTAATTCTAGTGATCTAGTGCGTCAGCCCTAGGCTTCACCATTGGTTTAATATTTTTTAAACATATAAAACAAAATAATACAAAGCGAGTCACGGAAAACGGAGTTTTTAAGAACGCATAGACTGCTTGTGTAACGCTTAGGTAAGTGGGGTTAGTGGAATTCAACCCCTTTTAGCCCTACCTTTCGGCTCGGCTCAGGTGTAGGTAGATTTCTATAAAAGTGTCCGCCATTTTGTTCGAATATGGCAGAATTAGCTGATTCGCGAACTTGACCAAGATATTTGAGTTACACCAACCCTTAAATTTTGGTCGAAATCGGTTCATAGTTACGAAATATACCTATCTAAACCTATAAATATACTGGTACCATTACAATAGGTAGACGAAATCTACCTAAAATCTCCTGTGCCTATAGAACATGCTGTTATTAATTTAGCAAGGAAGAATATTACGCTTGATTTTCAAGACGAATTTACGAATACTGTAGGTGGGTACCAAATTTCATACAGTAGTTGGCTGATTCTACTAATTCCACAAAATTAGTTGAAGAACAAAAGACATTTTAGGGTTGATTAAGTGAATTAGTAGATATGTAATTAATTCGACGATGTCTGCTTTTCTTATTTTTAATAATAGCGTGACGCAGAACTCAGAAGTAACATAAATCTGCATTTGTTGTTGTCGAAAGACCAGTTTAGCTATTTACTTTCGATTTTGACCGGTCGAATCAGTACGAAATAACAGTGCGTCTTCTTCTTATACACATGCTCACATTGTCTATATCTAAAGAAGAATTCATACGTGCACAACTATCATTGACCTTTCGTTGTTTCCTAATATCTTAAAACTCCTCATTTACTTCGCACCTCCTATAAGTAATGACCATTTTTTAATGAAAAAGTGTGGGAGTGGTCAGGTTTAATTTTACGACCTTCACAAAATTTAATCAGTGGCTCATTTATTTGGAGCAAAAACATACTTTTGTAAGAATCTACTCTATATTTGGTAAACTGGTTTATAATGTAATGATTGGTCGTTTTCATCTGACTGGAAAATGTTCTTAATAGCTTGATCCGTTGGTCCTCAGGACATCCATGTAATTTTGGAATATGGAGAAGACATCTACGATGGTACTAGTCAGTTGTAAATTCCAGTCCGGTACCTCTAACTACTAATTTACCTCCTCTACAGAAACAAATGCGAATCTTAGTAGATGTTTCTGTAAGGTTGTACATTGTACGTCTTTATAGTTTTTTTGCGACGATAGAAAAAGTCTTTTTAAAAAACTTAACTCTTGAGCCGCTAAATTATGGAATTTCGAAAATCACGGTAAAAAATTATCAGAATAGATCGTCAAAAATCGGGTTTCCCTAACGTGCGGTAAGTTGGAATTCCGGAAAAGAGACTATATTCAGTTAACCTCCAGTGCTTCCTCACTAAACAACTATAGTTTCGTAATGGTTTTTCCGTCAATAGTCTGGGGTACAAAAAAGTTTAATAAAAACGCGTAGTAATCGGTTAATGTGCGATTAGGTTACGAAAGTTCTATGAGTGTAACGCAATGATGTTGCGGGTAAACTAATCTACGATGAAGAAATGAACGCGAATTCCATTGTGCGGTGCATTTCCGATGGTGAACGTCTTTGAAATTGTCCTTTCTCATTGAATTATTACGTTCTGTAAGTATCGTGCAGTTTTACCGGTTTTGAATGACCTTTCTTCATTGCCATTTTTGATACTTCGGAGGTTTGATGTGTCGATTTTCATGATAAAAATTACTTTATTACAATCGAAGTTATTGACCAGGATGTTCAACTTTTTGTGGCCTTAAGCGTCATGTGTGTTAGGTTGTGGTGTACCTACTTCTTGCGTTTCCCTTGTATGTTAACCGTCCTTCGCAAAAATGATATCACTAGTTAACATTCCCAACATACTTAATTACAAATACCACAAAGCTCTATCATCGCTTTAAACCAGTAAATCGTGCTACATAACTCAATTTTGAGTACATCGAAATTAAAATAATAACTACTGAATCAACGTCACTTAAAAAGAGATTAATTCGTACGGCGTCGCTGTTAAAAATAGATCGAAGGCGTCAGCCTATGGCATTAACGAAATGAAAAGAGCAAAAACCTCACTTATTTTTCTTTTTTAAACTTCCACTCTTCCAGCTGCAACCTTGTGTTCTTCATACAACATTGGTCAGTTTGTGGCTCGAACTTTAAATCGCGATGATGTTGCTGCCATCGCTCCTATGCGTTCTCTTCATTCTAACTGCTGTTGAATCGCAAATGGCCGACAGTGGAAGACCAACTCGACAGAATACCGGCGACGTCGCCTATCGATTATCGCGTCTCGAGGTCATCTTGGTTGAAAAATTGGACAACATTAGAAACGACCTGCGCGACTTTTCGAATCGGATCCAGGAATTAGAATTGAAATTTAGCGACTCTCAGGCTGTTTTTGAAGGCTTTCGAGGGGATCTTAATCGAATATATCAGCAGATTTCCACCCCATCGACCCAGACGCAGCCACCACCTCCGCGGGAACCTCCGTCGTCGGGTACTTCGTCCCAACTCGAACCGCGCGTCGAGAATTTGGCCAAAGGAGTACAAATTTTGATCGCCGCAACAAGAGCGTTAACTTCCGATGTCTTCGGGCTGAAGAAGAACGTTTCACTTTTGTTGAACGATACTAGGTGAGTAAAAGTCTTTGGTAAAAGTGACACAATTGTTTATATCTAAATGTTACTTCATCAACATTGTGTAATTTAGTTAATTAGTAAGTATAGTTCAAATGCTATCTGGAATTATTAACGATTACAAGTTCCCTCAGCTGACGATGACGTACTCGCATATGTTTAAAGTGAAAGGTTCGTCTGACTGTTAAAATTATTCATTGTAGGCCAAATTCATTGTCCCATGATCTTCTTTGGGGTCTTCTTTTGTACAACAGTCACACAGATGTACATATGCATTTACACGCTTTCATCAAATTTAGTTTGCAAAGGAGATTGATATAATCGGGTACATTCTAACTCACGTTACATAATATAATTACACCGAACAGATACGTAAATCGATTAATTATATTTTCGTAGATTTTAAAGTCTAATTTTTTCTGTAACTGATGGCTCAGATCATTGATTAGGTCAAAGAACCGGTCATAAAGTAATCGATTAATCAACAGAAATTCAACGCATTTCTCATCCAAAGGCTACAGCGTTAAAAACTAATTCTCATAGACACTCAACCCAAAATATACTAGGTGCCAAATTTTTGATAGAACAGCAGCTGCCTAGCTCAAACCAGATATATTTTTAAAAAAAGTTTTTGATATGCGTAATGCCCAAAATGTTTACGTAATGAACATCACGTACCGAGGGGTACCTATAAGGTGCAAGCAATAATAGACTTCTCTGCCGTGGTATACCTATGTAGGTATTATTTTTTTCACTACTAGTAGAAGTCCTCTAAATTAACAGATTAGGTATATTGTTAAGAAAGTGAAGGGTTTGGCAGACTCTTCTGTTAATTTTACATCTCAATCAAAATGCATGGAAGTAACAATCAAGCAGGCTGTATTTTTTTCTCTCGTTGATATATCTTCAAAGAATATTTCGTTTGAATCTTTTCAAAATGTGACAGTTTTAATAAGTATGTAATTTCTCTGGAAATGCAGGAAGATTGCAATTATTCATTTAGAGAATCTCTCTAAACGTTTATTGCGCGAAATTTCGTGCTGTGTTCTCTAAATGTCATTATTGACTACTAGTTAATAATGATCTCATTATTAACCACTTTGGACAACTGTCGAGAAAGTCAACTTTATAAGTGAAAAAAAGGTTAATAATCATGTATCATAGGCTATAGTAGGTAGTGAAAAAAAAAATTGTTTCTACCTAGAAACAACTATTTTCGTCTCTAAAAAGGGTGAAGAAAATGTCATTTTCCCTAGTGAGGACAATAAAAAACAATTGCCGCGTTAATCTTAATAATGCCATTTAAAATTCTAGAGGGCTATGTGTCAAACTTCATTATTGCATATACGATAATTTTTCAGTATTGATTGTAGGTTCAGAAAAAAAAATGTGTAAAACTTGAGAAGAAAGTGGAATTTTTCAACTCGAGTTCAAAGTTTGTACAAATAACTATTTGTTCAAACGTCAATAGAACATGACAATTCCAAACTCATTTCATGACATAAGAGATTGACATTTTAGACGTTGCGTACGTTGGCAGAAGCGTATAAAAAGGTTAACTGTTGCTGGTCTAAAGGGTGGCGCATCGATAGGTAGCGAATATGAGCGCTATGCTATTTTAAAATATCTAATAGTCAATTTTCGAAAAAACGTTTAAACACGTAAACAATGTTGTTCCCTCATCTCACCTCACACTTTAGAAAGTAAAATATTTCATTGGGTTTCGACGATCATTATTCATTGAAACCAAGGTCGATTTCGGCAGATTTTGTTTAAATACTTATGACAGTACAGTACGCGTAATCAAAATTGATTCTTTTCTTGAAACTTTAACGGCCTGTACCCATTTCAACAGTTAAGACGTTCTGGACATACTTTTGATTGTGTCTAACGAATGTTTTCATTCTAATAGATGACGTGTAAATTCAAATAGAAACAATGATCAAAGACAATAAAAGGTTAACATATTATGTAACAGTTTATTATCCAAATGTAGGTATATGTATACATATGCGCGTATATTATTAATAATAATTAAAATAAATGGGAGTGAATTTTCGTGACAAGAATCCTTTATTTCTATCAGCCTTGACTGTATCTAAATTTGAAAATTACGTATGAAACTATAAACTGGTAAAATTTAATTGCCTGTTATCTTTTTTCACCCTTAAAAATCATCTACTCTGAAACCTATTATTTCGCAAATATTGAACCGAATTTGTCTACTCTAGATCGTTCCTTGTGCTCACTCCTCAACTAGTCACGAAACAGTTTCTCAACAACGGTCTTCTCGAACTCAAGCAACGCCAAGTTCAGTTGTTGTCTGAAAATACCTGTCCAAAAAGCGACACCGCTAGCAGTACCCTTCCGAGAAATTGTCGCGAGGTCTTCGCGGCGGGTCAGCGGAAATCGGGCATTTACCGTATCCATCCCGATCCTTCGTCAAAACCATTTATGGTAGTCTGCGACCAGGAAACTCGGGGAGGCGGTTGGACCGTTATTCACAACCGTTACGACGGTTCTCAAGATTTTTACCAAAATTGGCAAGAATACAAGCACGGCTTCGGTAATTTGGGCGGAGAGTTCTGGCTGGGCCTGGATTACATACATCAACTCACTGGTAAGTTTAATGGCTGATGACATTTTTAAACCAACTGAAGTCAATTTCAGGCTCGGACGTAAGCGAACTTCTAGTCGAATTGCAAGATTTAGATATGGCAAGCAAGAGCGCTTATTATTCGGCCTTCAGTGTTGGACCTGAAACGGAAGGCTTTCCGTTGAAGGTGTTGGGAGGATACAGCGGTGACGCCGGTGATTCTCTACTATACCATGCAGGAAGTAGATTTAGCGCGAAGGATATGGACCAAGACGGCTGGCCGGAAGGAAGTTGCGCTCAGGCTCACGGTCAGTTAATATGTAGATACCACATTCCGGGAGATAGTATAATCATATTTTAGGCGGGGCATGGTGGTATAGAAGCTGCGATATGAGTAACCTAAACGGAAGGTACCTCAGCGGCCAACTTCCCGAACAGTACATCTACCAAGGAATGTATTGGGCCGATTTTAGAGGAGCCCAGTACAGCCTTAATCGTGCCAGAATGTTAGTGAGACCTAGGGAACAAATTAATAGTTCGCTGGTAGACGAAATTTTTAATAGAAGTAACGTGATGCCCGCATTTGTAAGGGGTCGTGTCTGAAAGTCCTCCATGTAGATCTTTTCGAAATACGCTTCTATTGTTCAGTGCAAGTGCCATTAATCGATTGTCCCGCAGAGACATTAAGTACAAACTGTTAATTGATTTCACTAAACTAATATTGTAAAGGATATGTGAACAATAAAGTCTCTTCATTCATAACTTATAAACTACACAAATCAGAAACTAACACTTAACAGTATTTATAAAAATTGAACATGTGATCTAACTTGGTGAAATAACCAAGAGGGGATTAGACGAATTTTTGGAACCGAGGGTTCACCATTAAAACAGGAAATAAATTTCATCAATGGATAGCTAGGGCGAGCCAGGGGAAATAGAGAGTTTGTTTAAGACGAGTGTCGAAAGGTGCGGGATTATCGGACCATTTGATTTTGCTAATCATAAGCGTGCACATAAAAGCTCTGAAAACCGTTCAAATTCAAAGTTCTTGCTGTCGAACGGAGCATAAATGACGGAAGAAGCGAAAAAGGACTACAATGAATTAGTAATTTAAAGCTGTTAACTTTTTGTATGGTGTTGAGTTGCCAAATTGATTACCTCGTTTATCTTTGGCGGTTGCAGAGTCGGGCGCTAATAAATTGTCTGTGTTCCTAATGATGCAAATTACGGTAAAAACATGCGGATGCCGCCGTACACTTTGTGGAAAATGTGGAACACGTACCCTGTCGGTTTTTATTAAACAGTAGATTGTTACAAGTTCTTTCGAACGGTGAGAGATAAACGCAACTTTCACTGCAAGTTTGGTGCACTTTAGTTTGTGTTGCAGTCGAATATGTGTTGTCAACCTTTGTTTGTCGCCTAGTATAGGTTCCACTTCGTGTTCCTACAAGCATATTATGACATCTTAGTTGTTATTTGCACAACTTCAACAGTACAGTAACTATTGCTTATAGTACGATCTATACATTCCAATTCAACTAATGTAATTTTGCGAAGATCAATCCATGTGCCATACTTATACCAATGAGTTTATTTGAGGCATAACACCTTTGCAGCAAAAAGATTCAAGTATGACAAATCAAAAAATATCTCAAAAGAACGAGAATAATTGCCTTAATGCACTGAACGAGTCTATTAAGAGTGTATAATTGAATGTTCGCATCATGAAAAAGACCCAATTAAAAATTTAAATTAATAAAAGCTTGAGAATGTTGGAATAGTCGGTGTATATAAAGCAGACCGAATGTGAAACCTATTTGACCGCTTTTTAATTTCAATAATTTATAGCAAAACGTATAAGTTGTCTCGGATGACACAAAAATGAAAAAGGTGCAGATTTCTACAACGAACGTTTATCAATGCAGAATCGGGATGAAAATTCGTTAATTGCCCACATTTAAAGGCTTGGCTTTCCGATCATTTCCAATTCCCAAACGGCAAAACCTCACCTCATACAAACTTGATCAGATTTCGCTCACCCTAAAATTTCGTTTTCTCCTCAAGTTCGGGGGTTGCTTTAAATAATTTACGGTCGATTCTCTACACGGCCAGTATACAGATGTTTCGAAACACTCCATACTGACGGAGAAAAGGTTTCTCTAGCGTGGAAAAAATTATTTTTATTTTATAGAAAACCTAATCCCCTTTAAAAGTTAAAAGAATTACTTAGACATCGTTTAACGCTTTACCTTTATAAGGGGTCAATAAAAACTCAAATAAAAGCGTGTTCGTGCTTTCTTTTTCCTAGTTTCCTTAAAAGCTTTCCTGATCAACCTTCGATGTTGTTGAGGCGTTTTTCTTTCTTATTTTTCAAACTATCTCGATGGAAAAGTTTCAAATACCACTCCGACGCAAACCACACGAATATAAAATATTTATCCTGTTCAATCTCGACTTCTTTTTAACACAATATCTATACTATTAATTCGGTTTCGCCAATTGGCCACGGTGGGTTCGAGATCGCTTATTTTTCGGATTTAAATGTTGCAACAAGCAATTTTATTTTCAGAATAACTATAGCAATTCCTAGAGAATTGGCTAGAATGAAATTATACAAAGACCGCGCTGTAATATTTTCGAGTGGGAACGTGGAAATAAGTTACACGATTCCGATTGGATTACAATCAATTCAGTGTACTAATGACTGTAATACTAAAGAACAAATTTTATTTAAAATTCCACTCTAATTTAGGCAATCGTTTCAGTTTAAAAGACTCAATTATCGTACTATCGAATCTAAAAGCACCTTTTAGAGTCACAATTGAATTAGTTCTCTTGCGCGGTGATTTTCCAAATGTTTCTGGTCGGTCTGTTTAAATTCTACGATAAACATTAAATTCTACAGTACGTAGTGGTAAAGTGCAATGTGTAATGAAACACGAATCTTAAAACAACAGGCACGTAACCGTGTTTCATCGAATTTTGAGGTCTTGTCCCCTAAGCTAATAAGGCATTCTTGTGATATAAATTTTAATGGAAGCCATCCGTCGTTTTGCATTTTACGTTGTACACGAACGCTATATTCCCTGCGGTTGGAGTTGACAATAAACATCTACGTTCCCCTATTCAAATACATCTGTACAACTTGTTGGCCTTAAATTGATTTTGTGATTAAATTAGACATCGCCGAACCATACGAATTGATGGAATCGAAATAGGGAGTTTCTGGAGAATAGTATGATGGGGTAAAAAATGTTAGTTGTTGTGGTGCAGTGAAAGGGTTGCGTCGACGAGCATGCGTTAGATAAAGCGAGCGCCACGACGCCCGTCAGTTTGGTGGTTTAATCCGATGGTCGCGGATAGTTCGTGAGAAGCGCTAGATTGTATTCGACCCGACGTGTGATGCATCAATGATGAAACTGTTTAACTAACGATACAGATTTAAAGGTGAGTCTGGATTATTTACATCATCACAAATACTATTGCAATAAATAATCCATTCTGACAAGCAAATAAGTTATCGCAGCTCCTAGTTTCAGATCTCCAGCGGTCTTGTCGGTTCGCGTCAATTTATTGCTATACCCGGAAAGTTTGTTTAAAGGTCAACAAAATCAACAAGTGCATAAACTGACAGTGCTAATTGTTAATTATTGCGAAGACCGATTTTTAACGAATAACTTATAGGTGGCAATAAAGTTACGAAAGTCCTTTAATATTACTATGCAAATATAGTTATAATGCGTTTAGTTACTAGAACTCATCGAAGTAATTAATGTTGCGGAAATTACTTCACAATCTTATCGGCGCACGCCAAAAATGTATATTTCGTGATAACAATGCAGTAGAATTTTCTAACGAGGTCGTAAACTAAATCGATAGATTATTTGTGTTGGGGTTGCATGTTCACTAGAACGAACGGGAAGGTAATTGCATTTTATTCCACTTAATGGCGATTACATTACCTCAGTGTTACAATGCAATTCGAAATATACCTACCCTCATCGTATGGTCCGATTTTCGCGTTTCCTTTCGTTCACTTATTTAATATCTGCCAATTTGGATAGCGAGCTGATATTGGGAAATTCAAATCCCGTTTGTTTTCAAGCAAAACATTTATCCATACGGTTTCCATGTAATGATCTACAAAATGCCAAAGTCTTGTTATATATATTAGTAAGGGATGTATTTCCACGTCTAAAAAGAAAGTTCGAGTCCCAGATTCTTTGCTGTTTCAGGTTCAGTATACTATGTAGGTGATTTGGGCAATTTTATTTCATATCGTTTAACCTATTTATTATTCTTTTTCTGTTTCTATATTGGTTCGTTCCATTGTACTATTTCTTGTTACGGACGAATTGCGAAATAACCGATTATCCGAAACCGGAGATAGCGTACTTATTGACAATTAATAGAGTATACTTGACCAATACGTTTGAAATTGACGCATTGGATTTAGGTATTTGGTTAAAACCATCACGTGTCTGAATGGCGGATGTACAAACCAGGATCAGTAATTACAAATTTCAACAGGATAAAACCTTCTAACAAGCCTTCCTACTTTTGCTTCGCTTTCCTTTAGGTGGACATTCTACTATTGATGCTTTCTAATGATCTGATTCTATCTAATAAGTGCTTTTAATGTGAACGATCTTATCGAGTAAAAAATGTGTAGAAGGTTGTATTCAATTTGAACAAAATCGAAGCACTCACGTCTAAGTTGGGTTAAAATATTGATTTACGGTTAAAGATTCGAAGTAAGTTGACATGAATGATTTATGAATTATGCATAGAGGCTCATAAAAAAACGTTTTAGCACCAACCATTGAATTATCGAATAACATACAACCCCCTAACGTGTGCCTGTGCGTGCTAAAATATTCATGGTTAGGTTATGCTATATTTAGACAAGTGCGGGGGATGTTTTTATCGAACAAAAATTTGAAAATTTCTCATAGTTTGAGAACTCTCAATTAGATGTTTTGTCATTCTGCGTTAACCAGTCTCCTGGTAGGTACATTAAGTAGACGCCGGAATGGCGACGATACTTTTCTTTCTTTAAAACGCGAACGTTTCACCAGCGTTTTGAATTTATTAGGTCATAACGTCAGGCGATATTTATTCAAGCGTTACTAAGAATAAAACGTCGGTAATAAAATAATGTGAATCACTTTTTGGTCTTTTTTCAAAGACCGCCATAAAGATATTTTATTGTACCGAAAAATGTTTGGTATGCCAATGTATACAGTGTATTCACACAGAGTGCCCATTATGTATGGAATATAGTATATTATATCTCGGTAAATATCGACTGTATACAAAATTGTTGTTTAACATTTTATTTCCTATAATAAGCAATAAAATAAATAGCAATGCCCTGCGCACCTCTTCATTATTTGATAGAGATTTTTTTTCTCTTGTCAATGGCGTAACACGTTAGCACCCGTGTAGAAGAAATTAACTTTTATTTCAAGCTGTTTGTGATAGGTTATGCCACTGCGTTGTAGTTAATGGTGAAGATTTTGAACATTCATTGAGATGAAATCCATTTTATTGGTAATTTCGTTTTGTGTTCAAGGTTTAATATGGAACATACACGTTCATTTGTTTTATTTTGATGTAGGATATCTGGATTAATGTTATTGATCTAATTATAATAAATTTTTTTGAAACATTTTCTTGAATAAGAGTACCTACTAACATGTTATATCATCGAAAAGAGAAAAAATATCTCTATCAAATGAGCCTAATGAAGAGGTGCA